CGAGCACATGACAGTGCAAGAGCTGACGTCTGAATCCAAACCAGTGGTCAACAAGCCTCTCTAAAGCTCTTCATGTCCACCCAGCATGTTCAGATAAGACCTTTTGTGTCCCTCTTGATCCCTGCTGGAAACAACAGCACTTAAACCCACAGCACAGTCAACCCTTCCAACCCTGACAAGTTGGATCACCGTAATCCATACATTTGGATAGCTAATCCACATTCAGTGCCTCAGAGGACATAGAGACCTTTCGGCTTGTCAAATCCTGAGACGAGGACTTTAAACTGGGTATGCGAGGTGGGCAACACCAGAGGCTCCCTCCCCTTTGCAGACAATGAGCCTACCCAGCTGAGCTGACAAGGACATGGGGGAGATGTTTGGGCTTACCAATGCGTAAGATCAATTAAGGGTGGTTGAGAGGAAGCTCTGAAAAGAGACGCGATGACCCTGCTGTAGAAGAGAGCATGTTGGCCCTATTCACTAATCCAGTAAAGGAGCCAAATATTTTAAGACCTATCAGTCCGCAAGCCAATGAAAACCAGTCGCTTTCCTTTGCTAAAGTAGGTCATCTGCATTACAAAGTATTGAACTAAATAAGTGACTTTCCTTCTTTTAACAGCAACAACTGATTCCGAAAAGTATTGGTGTGTGTGTGTGTCTGCTGCAAAACTTTGTTGTCAACAGAAGAAAGTAAGATGTACAGTTTTGGAGTGACATAAAGTTGTTAAAATGATGATGAAATTTACTTTTATCAGTAGCATATACCAATTTTTAAACCTAAATTGCAAAAGGTGCAACAATTTTGATTACTACTATGGTGAGGGAGGCTAGGGCGAAAAGTTAAAACAATCCAACTAACGTTAACGTTACTTAAAAAGTAGACAACGGTTACAGCAGAACCCACAAGCCACTATTTCACTGCTATGGAGACAACGAAAGTTGTAAACTCCATCTCTTTTCTCTATCTCTCTCCCTGTGGACCTTTAACCTGCTTGCGTGAGGCAACGTTTACCTTTTCTCTCTTGACTGTTACAGCGATTCTTATATATAAACACAAGCGTGATACTCTGCAGCTTGAGTTTTCTCCACGGCGTCTGTCATGAATCAGCTGTGCCATGTATTCGCATCACTCATCGGTGAATTACGCCAGAGCTGCGCTCACCACCAAGCGCTTTCTGTTGAGTGCGGGAACACAAGGACCAATCCCACGCGTTTAAAAACTCACTCTTTTACTTACTATAAATGCCCATGTTGTTCTGTTCATGTATTTGAGTTGTTTGATACATTCAAAAAGAGTGTTTTCTTTGAGCAGGTCAAATTAAAGGTACAGTTTATTTATCTGACTGATTGTATTCAAGGACAAAATTGTATTACAGATAATATATAAATGTATTTATAAATTATACATTTTATTAAAATAATTCTTGTGCTGTGAAGTAAAATCTAAAATTGTGTATGGAAAGCATTGTCAACCACCGTGAATGTTATAAAATCAATATGAAAAACGTAAAAATCTAAATTAAAATGTTTTAAAGCTTTTATAAATCTATATAAAATATTTGACATATTATTTATTTCATTGAACTTTAAATACTGTGGTTATTTTCTTCTTTGGATTTTATTTTATTTTTTTATTAAATAAAAAGTAGTGTAATGTAGCGTACTTCGTGATTATGCTTGGTCTTCCTTTGGTGCTGTTAAAACCACCACCTCAAACTTGTAGCTCTTTTATGAAGTTATAGTAAATCGTAAATTTTGATTGAATAAATCATGATTTGATTTTTCTTTTTCTTCAAATCTTGCAGCCCACTAGCCGATAGTTTCCAACACCTCTCTTGATAGGAAGCAAAAAATAAAATCACTAAAGATTAAAAAAAAACACTCGCTTTCTCTCAACCTAAAAGGATAGTTGAAAAAACCCTTTTAACTCATAGCCTAATTCATAGCCTAAGAGAACTGATTTAAAACAGTTTTATTTTGACCAAATTATAAGACTTATTTCACATTTCTGGATTCCTTAGCAGCGAAAGTTGTCACAGTTGGGTAAACTTTAAGAGCAGATTTAAGGAGAGTACCTTAAATACATTTTAAAACTCCAATTTGCTCAAGTAACAAAAGAAAAACTCTGTGATGAAAGTGCTATCATGACATTCAGGAAAAAAAAGGGGGACGGGGGAGTGTGAGACTAATAATAGCAGCCAGAAGACAGAGCAACGCCAAATTTGCTAGACTCTGCATTAGAAATACCTCGCATGAGCATTAACTAGTTTGTTTGTTTGTGTGTGTGTGTGTGTGTGTGTGTGTGTGTGTGTGTGTGTGTGTGTGTGTGTGTGTGTAATACAAAGTGTAGCTTTATACAGTTGAAGTCAGAATTATTAGCCCTCCTGTTTATTTTTTTCCCCAATTTCTGTTTAACGGAGAGCAGATTTTTTTCAACACATTTCTAAACATAATAGTTTTAATAACTCATTTCTAATAACTGATTTATTTTATCTGTCATGATGACAGTAAATAATATTTTACTAGATATTCTTCAAGACACTTCTATACAGCTTAAAGTGACATTTAATAATAATAATATTAATTAATTGCTTATATTTATATAGCACTTTTCTGGGCACTCAAAGCACTTTACACACCTCATCCACCACCAGTGTGCAGCATCCACCTGGATGACACGACGGCAGCCATTTTGTGCCAGACCGCACACCACACACCAGCTGATTGGTGGAGAGGAGACAGAGTGATGAAGCCAATTATGATATGGGAATGATGGACAGAGGCCAGTGGGCAAATTTGGCCAGGATGCCGGGGTTAAACCCCTACACTTTTTCGAAGGACATCCTGGGATTTTTAATGACCTTGGTTTAACGTCTCATCAGAAAGACTGCGCTCACTAAACCCTGGTTTATACTTCTGCGTCAAGTGACCGGCGTGCCCCCCGGCGCATGCAACGCGCGTAGCTGTGCATTTATACTTCTGTGCGCTGTCTCTGTTAATCTGCATTAACACTTCCGAAACGCTAGTGGGCAGTGAGGTGTTAATGTTCGAGTTTCTTCTCCGTTGTTTTGCTCTTCCTGAACACTTCCTGGAAGTACAATTGACTCAAACTCGCTCATTTTGAGGCAGGAACCGGCTGACGTGCAAGAACTTTAACTATGAGGTAAACACAAAACAAAACTTTCCATCCGGAGCTCCTTCACGGGACTCCATACTTGTAAACAATCGCTCCATTGGGCTCGCGTCCAGCTCGCGCTATTCGCGCGGCTCTCGGTCCCGCCCAGACTCGTCAGCACTACCAAGCTGACCAATCACAGAGCTTGCGCTACGCGTCGTTGCGACGTGTAGTTACAATTTTTAAGAGGTGCACATCAGCAACGTTTGACGCAGAAGTATAAATCAGCCTTAAGCAGTATAGAGTCTCTGTCACTAAACTGGCGCATTAGGACCCCTGCTGGTCTCACTAACATCACTTCTGGCAGCAACCTAGCTTTCCCATGTGGTCTCCCATCCAGGTACTGACCGGGCGCAGCCCTGCTTAGCTTCAGTGGGTGACCATGTCAGAGTTGCAGATAGCTAGCTGCCGGCTTAACTAGGTTAATTAGGTTAACTAGGCAGGTTAGGGTAATTAGGCAAGTTATTGTATAACGATGGTTTGTTCTGTAGACTATCAAAAAAATATAGCTTATAGGGCTAATAATTTTGACCTTAAAATGGCTTTTAAAAAATTAAAAACTGTTTTTATTCCGGCTAAACTAAAACAAAAAAGACTTTCTCTAGAGGAAAGAATATTATCAGGCATTGAAAATTTCCTTGCTCTGTTTTCCCAAACATAATTTGGGAAATAGTTAAAAAAGAAAAAAAAAATTAAAAGGGGGGCTAATAATTTTGACTTCAACTGTATTTGTACCTATTTTTTTTTTGCTAAATATTTAAAACTTTGAAGGATTTAAGAAGCTGATGACCATTAAACATCATCTCGTGAAAAGGTCTTTGCTTTTGTCATTGAACAGCAAACATTTGATTCAAACTTGTAAGATCCAAATCATCTACACATGATGCATTTCTCCACTAGGGGCAAAAAAGCATCTGAAAATGCTCACTGTATATACGATCAATCCAATGTTTGGGTTTGATATTGTTTCCACATTATTCATAAGTCTTTTATGTTTATCAAGGCTGCATGTATTTGATCAAATCTTGTGAAATATTATTACAATTAAAAATATAAACATATTAATATGCTTTAAAATGCAATTTATGCCTGTGATTTGAATTTTCAGCATCATTACTCCAATTTACTGATTTGCTATTCTAGAAACCCTTTTTTAGTACCATCAAATTTTGTGGAAATTGTTTTACTTTTTATTTCAGGTTTCTTTGAATTATTATTATTTTTTTAAATATAACATTTACTTTAAACTGAAATAATCTGTACCATTAGATGCACATATATTTTCACTAATCAAATGCATATGTGCAATATGTATAAAAAAAAAGCTTATGAAAACAACATAAATCTATTGAACAACACGTAATCTTGCCTTTGGACAGTTTTAATAGTTTTTGATCCACTTCAAATGTTGACTATTGTGTATATACTGTGATTGTTTGTTCAGCCAGCTTTCAGCTTACATTCACTTATAAAGGCAATTGACTCCAAAGCAAATGGCCATTGCTTATTTAATTGTATAGCCACACAACATTCTGACTTCTTCACAAAGTATGTTATGATCGTACGCAGAGAAAGTGAACGTACTTTCATATCCCTGTCATATACAGCAGGAGTCAACAAGTTGGTTATAATAAGATGCTTGTAAGGCTCAAGTGTGCCTGCCTCTGGTGCATCACGGAGCTGCAGCTTGATCTGACACCCTGCTGACTGCCATTGAACACTTCTGTTTATCATTTCAGTCAAGTATTGTTCATAACCAGGGAGTTTCACTATTCAATGCTGACTTATGCATAGTACTGTAGACATGTACAGAATGAGTACTCACAGACATTTCCCGTGTTGTCAAAGCTGCTGAGAACCTCATCCACTCTAATGGGGCCAAGATTGTCTCTGAAATGAAGTAAGGAACATGATATAGCTATATGATAATGACAATACTGACGATAGATATGAAAACTGATCAAAATATCTAGTTAGCGTATACTTAGTCAAAAAAAACAAAAAAGAAATTTCTCATTGACCCATTCTTTTATATATAGAAATAAAAGAAGATTGTTTTAAGAATGTTCAAGCTGCTTTTATTCCTTACAATGAAATGACTTCTGTCAATGGATGTCTTTCACAGACACATTTCCACAGTTACTAACACAGTTAGAAACACAGTTAAACACTTACCTGTGTAACACAAAATGTCACAGAATGCGGAAGATTTTAAATGAATAAATGCAACAGTTGTGCAATAATGCAGACAAGATTTTGCAGCAAAAATACAACATTCATTTGACCTTCGACTTTTTTATTTAGCTACTACCACCTGCGTGACATCCCTAACTACAGCTTTAATCGACATGGTATTAAATTGAAAGTTTTTACTAGCAGGTTTGCTTCTCCAACACTGCATCATACCATAATAAGCAGTAATTTACACTGCTGTGTTTATAAAAACCTACCCCAGAACTGCTCTGAGAGTCACCTAAGAAGCATGTTACCCTTTTATCTGAGGTAATTATTGTCATTTCATGCACAAACTGAGATATATTATAACAGTCAAATGTACCTTTAAAAATAGAAATAGTGATAATTTGATATTATTTTTATTTTAAAAGGAATATTTATATATTGTTTTTTAAATAAACATTTTTTATTAATATTCATATTATTATTATTATTATTAAGAATATTAATATGATAGTTTTAACAAAAATAAAACAGATGTCAAATTGGGTTTTTAAAATGTTATTTTGGTTATATTTGTAATAAATTGTTGGTAAAGTTTCACAAAATCTATTTATTAGACATGCTTTTTGATTACTACAATTATTTTGACCAAAAAAAAAAACTTTTTAAAACCGAGATTCAATTATATCCTATTAATAATAGTGCTGGTTAGCAACTTATTACATAAAATATGGATTATGTAATCGGGTTAAAAAAAGTCACTTTATCAAATCATATTACATTTGAAATTCCTCATAATCCCATTATAGTTACTTTTTTATAGATTACATGCTTACAAATTACTGTACATTTGACATAGTTTATTGATATATAATATTATATATCAATATATTCTTCTTATTGAAAATGCTGGACTACAAAACAAGTATTATGTTGGAGGGGTACATAAGTGTGAACAGTCAAAATATACACTGTGCAAGTCAAAATAATAACTTTGTGCCAAAAAAACATTAGAATATTAAGTGAAGGCTGTCTTCCAACAAGACACTTTTCAAATTTCCTCACATAAATATAGCAAAACTTAAAATTTGGTTAGTAATATGCATTGCAATCTGGACAATTTTTAAAGATGTTATCCTCAATATTTAGATCATTTTTAACCTGAGATTCCAGATTTTCAAATAGCTGTATCTCAGCCAAATAGACCCTTTTCACTTTTCTGTGTTTCTCAGTAGTGGAAGGCATCATGGTTGGGTAAGCTTGTAGAGTGCAGTGAATGGGAGAGTACAACAAACGTTTTTTTTTTTTTACAATCCTATTTGCTGAAATAATAAAAAAAACTCCAAGATTATGAACAACTTGCATAAAGCAGTAATTAGTTTTTTTGTTATTTGACTCAATGATATAATGCATTCATAAATGCATATAAATGTTAATATGTTTTCTTTTTTTAAATAAAAATAGTAAAACTTTAAGGATTAAAAATTAAGATGACTGTTAAACCAGTCATAAGTCTTGTTATGCTTTCAGATGATGTTCATTCATTCATTAATTTACCTTCCAGCTTAGTGCCTTTTATAAATCTGGGGTTGCCACAGCGGAATGAACCGCCAACTTTTCCTGCCCTGATACTTATGACTGGTTTTGCAAAAGAGGGTGACAATTGTTCTTTTTTCTCTTTAAAGAAGAGACGTTTTCTTTTTTCTTTCGTTGTCTCTTTGTGTCTCTTTAGGTTTTCCAAGTACAGAATGTATTCTGTCACGCAAATTTATTAGTGGACCATGCAAATGAAAAAAAAAAGTTCTCTAAAAGTAGTCAGATTACATTACTTTAAAAAAGTGGTTACACTACAACGATTCTCATCATGTGATTTGTTTTCACTGACTATTAACTACTCCACAAAGCACTGACTAATAACACCAAAAAGATAAGCTGTTCTACTGTACTGTCTTCAGCATACCTGAGTAAGGCACTGTACTGGGGAAAGATTGCACTTCTGTACTCCACCCACTGGCCGTCAGAAGGGTCCTCGGTCTCTGGGGGAGTCCCTCTGCTCCTGGAGAACAGGTTAAAGGAGGAGAATCTCCGCACTGACACCTGCTGAACATCTTGACTGTCGAGCTGCTTCTGTTTCAGCACCTGCATGATGAGAGACACATCAGAGGATGCTGCAGCTACTCTGACACATCAATACGTCTAATGTGAAAAACACTTTACATAATGCGTTACATTCGCGCTTATTGAAGCAAACAAACACATTAAAATAGCTGAATACTGAGGGAAGTCCTTACCTGTCGCAGAAGAGCCCATCGTGCACGGGCCACATCGGTTCCACAGTGAGAGTCGTGATTTTGGTGATCATTCGCATGCATTTCTGTCGCAGCCAAAGGGGCGTCTTTAAATGTAACGTTATTCATCCCAAAGCAACCTGCTGGAACTCATGCAGAAAATTACTTCTCACTGTATCACTAGAAGAGCTGCGGAATGCAGAGTCTAATCGAAGGCTTATTTGGCATTTGTTCTACGGATGCGGTTAAAGTCCATGGCGTAATTTAATCGTGTTTTACCAATTCGCCGGTTCTCTGTTGCTTAGTAATAAAATCCCATGCTACTTCCGTACACCACCTCCACTTGTGCTGGCGAAAAGGAAATCGAATCAACCACCGAAGTCATCGAACACTGTCGTATTATGGCTATCGTTTACGATTCTAGACTCGATTAGTCTTTCCTGAATTATATGTCATATTTTAGCGCCATTTGTGACTCATCCTGAGAGTCGGTTCTTTTGAACAGTTCGTTTGCAATAATTGATTCAAACCTGTTGATACAATATTCCATTAACTCACACACTCACGCACTTTCCTAGTTTTTACTTTGATTGAAAAAATAAGTGGTTTACACATGCTTTATTTATAGTAATAAGTGTTTATTTTATTGAATGTGTTGCAGTTCAATTTGTTGCTCATACACCCATAAAAGTCAATGAGAACCTAAATCTATTTCGCATTTAAAAGAAATATATAAAGTGTAATAAGCTAATTCGATTGACTTCTAAGTTCTCGGTTAATTTTCAGTCGGTCGTGTTCGGAAAAGACGATTTTCAAGAATACGACGGTTTAATTAAAAGACAAACGATTTGTGAACCGATTCAACCGAATTCAACCGAAAGATCCGATTCACTATTCGCTAGTGTATTTTTCAATACACAACAGCAGCTCAAGCACATGGGCAGCGGGGAAGTTTAAATGTTCTGAACGTGACACTTACCTAAGATGAATATTAACTATATGTTTATGTATTTAATATAACAAGTCGTCGTTCATTCATAATAACAATTATTAGATCATCGTGCTGCATTAAATGAATCTAATCATCTCCTCAAGCCTGCTGCTTATGCGATTACTTTCTCGAAATGTAACGTTACGCCGGGCGAATATACAAACAATACTCTCCCGTCTTTACTCTGAGGTAAGATCAACTCCAGTCTAACGTTACAGTCTAATGTTGTAGTTTTAGGGGTGTAAAGGAGTAAATTTGTCTCATGTAAAGAAGTAAATGTTAAATGCTGCAGCGACAGGTGTGTAAATGCTGTAACGTACAGACATTTAATACAAAAAACAAGATCTTAATATTACTGTTTAATTTATGTATAAAATAACCCCCTTTTTATTTATAAATTTTTAGATCAGAAACAGGATTTCAATTCTGAATACAGACAAATTGTATATCATATGATCTCTATGTTTGTAAATGGGTTTATAAAATAATAACAACTTGTAAAAATAGTGAATTGTGTAGTCTATACACATTTAAACTGATATTTAATTAGTTTTTAAGGACTGTACGGTGATCCTACATAGGTCATTAACAGATTGCAGACAATTATAATTTGTTGTTGATTGCAAAGTATATAATTGTTTGTAACAAACGGGTGGTAACACTTTTAAAAAATGGTTTAGTTAATTAATGTATTTAAAGCATGAACAAACAATAAACAAACATATTTATTACAGTATCTATTAATATTTGTTAATGAAATAATAAAATAAAAATGTAGTTGTTTATTGATAGTTCTTTCTAACGTATAGTGCAATAACTATTGTTAACAAACACAACTTTGGATTTTAATAATGCTTTAGTAAATGTCGAACTATGATTAATAACTGCTGTACATGAGTGTTCATACTTAGTTACATGTTAGTAAATACATTATTAACTTTAACCTATGGACCATTATTTTAAAGTGTTACCCATAATCTTAGTGTAGGTAACATGTTCTGACTACTTTTGAAATACTTTTATACTATGTTTTTGCTTTACTTGCTTACAATGTCACAGAAAGATAGAAAGAACATTTAAAAGAGTTAAAATAAGAATTAAAAGGGACCTTTTATGCAAAAATCACAGTTAAGCACAGTTGTGTGGCAACAGTTTGTGATTATAATCAGCTTCGAATGGCAAAAATGTAATAATTAAATTTTTTACAAATTCACACTTGATAAAAACAGTCTTCAGTAACATGTTGATTGGCATTCACTTATCTATTCATCATTACTAAGATCTGTCCCTCATTAGCATAGGAGTCTTTTTTTATTCACCACTATGCTGACACATATATTTATAGCTCCACCCTCTATTGAAGAGAGCATAATTTCATTTAGATTTAAAGCGGCAGTCACCAATATAGCTAAATTAGGATCAAAGCCTAAAAGTGGCAGTTTCAAAGAGATATAAAACATTATTTGTGAGGTATTTTGAGCCGAAACTTCACATACACGCTCTAGGGGCATCTCAGACTCAATTTACATATTGCAAAAAAGGGGCATAATAGGTTTTCTTTTAAATACAATTTACTGACTTTGCGTTAGTCAATAACATGTAATCATAATCCAAAAAATTATAGGTAACTTGTAAGGATAACTTAAAAATGCTAAATATTGTAATTACAAGTAATACATTTTTGAATATGATAGCATAATTAAAATTACATGTGATCAGTTACTGCCCAGCACTCTTAGTTTAAATATGCCTGACAAAAGATTTCTGATATAAACTTTTATAGGTGTTTGCTATAAATCCTTGTAAAAATTTATGATTGATTTTATTTTAATTAAAAATGGCACATTCTAATGTGCAGAGCAAATGTCTTCTTTTAAATTATTAAAACAGCATGCATAATAAATAACCCAAATCAGTTAAAAGCAGCTTTTAATGTAGTTTAGCATGTCATACTTCATGTTAACTTCTTGAAAGTGTTCCTAATGTAACTCTACTTGTTCATTTAGGGACCCACGGAGCTCTCTAAAGCCCAACTTCAGAAATTCAAAAGCCAAGAGCAGCGTTTTAAAAGAAGATTGCATTCAGTTCACAGAAAGTTTGCAGACGTGCCAGACAACTCAGAGGTAAGCAACTAAAATAGATAAAAAAATATATATATAATAAACAATAATAACAAGCAGCCGAGTCATCAATCCTTCAATGTCATCTCAAGTTTCAGGGGCAGCATCATGTTTACCTTGAAGATGGCAAAAGGATCTACAGATCGACACTGGGACATGGTAAAATATATTAAACTAGGTCAGAAACTACATTTAATTTGGTTCGAATTATGAATAAGTCAATATCCGCATACAGGCGAGCAGGAGACGGTGGAGGTGTTCAATGCAGACTGGGGAGAAGGTGGATATGGATCCATTCAGAGGGTTCGACTCTCTCCCACAGAGACCATGTTGGCCGCCACTGTCAAGAATGATGACCATGAGAAGACCAGATGCATGTTAATCCGTTCGAATGGTGTCAGTTGTACTCAAAGAGTCATGCTGGTCCTAGACAATGTGCTCAGTTTTGGTAATATCAACAATACTTGAATATCAATTGAAACTTTTAGAGGTTTGAATGATTGAAATCTTGAGTTTTTAAACTTAAATGTTCTCTGCAGAGTGGGCCACTGATGATGTCCTCTTCTACAGCACACAGGAGAGTCTTCGTTCCCTGCATGTTTTCCGTCTTCATCTCATTGATTCTGCTGTCCAAACCACACTTGTTTATGAGGAAAAAGATCCAGAGTAAGACCATTGTGTCCTGGTGTGATAAAATTCTATTTGTAGTTCGTTTTGCAAGTTTGAAACAGCTTTCTATTGACATAGAAAGTTGGAAGTTTCCATCGTTGAAAAGGTAGATAAGATTTTTACCTCTAAGCACAGAACAAAAATTTACTTTGTCTTGAGTAATTTGAATCTTAAAGGATTTTCACCTACATATTTTACTTTTTTCTTAAGTAAAATATTAAAGTCTAACTACAATTCTGGTCCTTAAAATGCCCTCATGTCATTCCAACCCCTCGAGCCTTCATCTTCAGAACACATATTAAGATATTTTACATAAAACGTGTGAGCTCTCTCATCCTCCATTTACAGAAAGGGTCCAGAGATGTTCAAAGTCCAGAAAAGCCACCATAAACATTGTCAAAATATTCCATGTGACTTCACTGGTATTGTAATGATGGTGATGACAACATAGGTTAGATCCAATTGAAGTTTATATTAGAATGGTCAGGCAGGCAAGGCTCAAAAGGAATAGATGGTAGCATGCAGATAATTTATTAGAGTTGTCGTTATAACAGGCGTATGGTTAAGGCACGTGGCAAAACAAACAAAAACAGAATAAAGACAGTGTCAAAACAAAGCTAGATGAAAGGCTGATTTATACTTCTGTGTTGAGTGATTGCCATGACCCACGTCACCCACCTTGCACATAGTCATGCATTTATTCCTCGGCATACTGTTTGTGTTGCTCTTCTGAAATGCTAGCTGGCAGTAGGTTTTTATGTTCCTCTGTGTCGAGTTTCTTTGTGAGCGTTTTGTTTGTTTCTGAACGCTACAAGTAGCTAAAAGTCGCTTATTTAAAGGTGGGAACCGATGGACATGCAACAACTTTAATTATGAGGTAAACACAAACCAAAAGTTTCTATCTGGAGCTCCTTCACAGGACTTAAGACTTGGCCACGCTCGTCATCGCTACCAAACCGACCCATCACAAAGCTTGTGCTATGCTTTGTTGCGACAGGTAGTTACATTTTTTGAGAGGTGCACGTCAGCCATAGTGAGGGCTATGCGACCGTGTGCATACTGCGCCGGACATGTGTGTTCACTTGACGCAGATGTGTACATCAGCCTTAAATAGGAAAATGCTTGGTAATGCTCACTACAAGAAAACTAGTCTCAGTACTGGATATCATATAGTCCCTGTAATCATATATATAGTCCCAGAAATGAGTAATGACGAGCTTCAATGATGTGCAAGTGCAATCTGGTGTGTGAGTGTAATGCAAAATGGGATATGTAGTTCAGCTGAATGACAGGGAGTGTTCTCCAGCAGAACTGCTGGTGATCAAAACTGCTGGTGATCATAACAGGTTCAAGTCTAGTAATGCAAAGCTTTAAAAACATTTTTGTGCACTAAAAAATTTACTTTTTCCCTCAATCTATATATTTTATATCTTTGGATTTCATCTAAAATAACTTTATTTGTGCTCCTATGATGAATGAATGTCTCAGGGTATTGAAATTACATGAGGATGAGTAATTAATAGAGTGAATTTCATCAGGGGTAAAAATCCTTTTATGACATAAAA